AAATGATCATAAGGAAGCTACACCAATGTTGAGTCAAGCTGGTGAAGTGATAAATTGTTTCTCAAGTAAATAAATGAGGAAAATAAATCATTCTGTCAATATCTCTTCTCACTTACGGGACGACGAGGTGAAAAAATTTAGTCTATTTTTTTGTTTGCCAATTTCATGGAATCGTTTGCCATTGGGTGAATTGATAACTACTGCCTAAATCACTGGTGTGTTAGTTCATCTGAATTCTGACCCGTTCATCCGTCTGTCAGTAAATTTCTCTTGATGTTAAATTCTCAAAACTGGTTCATACTTTCCTGAAATATTGTTACGATGGTCTTAACTCAAAATCGTAAGTGAGGTTAATGTACCGGGTAAGATATCTAATTTTACTATAAAAAGGGAAATAATATTGTCCTCTTCTCCAAAACGACTGACTCAACTTTACCCAAACTTCCCAAACATTTTCCCTTGATGGTTCCTCTTACAAAGTTGTGCCCGACAACGTCAACATTTGCCATCCCAAATGGACTTTAAGGCCTGGTGGGCAGTTTGTTATTGTCGTGTGGTTACCGTGTGTGACGCCCCTCCCCGTCCTGCCCCTCCCCACCTCGCCTTGCCCCTCCCCGCCCTGCTCGCCCCTCTCCGCCCCACCCCGCCACGCCCCGCTCTGCCACACAACTAAGGCATTTTTTGGACTTTTTTAACAGGTTTTACGCTAAAATTATACCATGAATTTTTTTGTTTCGATTTTTTATCCATTATAATAATAACTACAACAATATGTGGCAATTGTTGTAGTTTATGTAGAGTCCTTCAGGTGACGCCTGTAGTGGTTTATGTAGAGTAGAGTACGTGTAGTGTAATGTGAGATACTTGTGGTGTACGAGTATACAAGGGATATACAAGTATACCCTAATTGGACTAGTATACTTGTAGTGAACAATTATACCTCGTGTGTAATAATATACCAGGAATGTATAAATGCGTTCGAGTGTACAAGTGTAGAGACACAGGTGTACCTAAAGCATACTTGTACTAACCCACCCTCACCATCAACTCACTCGTGGTGTTGAGGACTCGGTTCACATCCACGGTAAGTCACTGATGATGACACACTACACTATACACGACACACATCACAACAGTCACCATCACCACCCAACAGTATAGTCACAACCACCAAACACTATAGTCATCATCACCCAACACTATAGTGACCACCACCCAATACTCTAGACACTACCACACATCACTATAGTCACCATCACCACCCAATACCATCATCACGCAACGCTATAGTCACCACCCAACACTATAGTCACCACTTCCCAACACTATAGTCACCAACACTTGACACACAACACATGTAGCCCCGGTACGTTACTCCAGTTTATTACCAGGATAGTTATAATGCTGAACTATAAAGCCGGTCTGTTATGCTCCATCATACTCTGTCTAACTTGGTGGTTAAGGTAGCATTATACCCCTTTAGTTGGGTTACATCTGAAGTGATTCCACGAGCCCGGGGTCTCATTACGGCTCTGAATCACAAAGTTTGTTTTGATGTTGCAAATGACGTGCAGTGTAATGTGTCATATTTCTTTTTTTAATGCAGGTTTGTGAACTGTGAGTGCAGCGCCGCCTCCCTCACACCGGCTAATACAGGAACTATGTAGCGGTAGAGTTTTGTCGAGTGAGAGAGAGAAAAAAATATCCTAATGAAGGGCGTCTGATATCAAAGGCTGAAGTTATCTTTGATATAAATTATGATATTTTCAACAACAACCTCATGTGAGCTATCTTGTCTCGCCTCTACCGTGAACTAAATTATACGACTAAATATATTACAGTTTTGAAGACGATGACTTTATGTAACGATGCTGTCTTAATACATAAACAATATCAAAGGAGAGAGTTACTTTTACTGAAGAGATATATAAGAATTACCCCAGCCACACTCTCCTCACACCACCATTAAACCGACTAAAGGTGACTGTATCCTTCAGAGGGAGAGAGGGATTGAAGTTCTCAAATGATCGTGTGCGTGCAATATCATGTTCCTCAGATTCAGTCATAGAGGAGTCAAGGAGTTCAATACCCAACTTCTGTATTGTTATTTTGAACCTTGTCTGTATCAAAGGTTAAAGTGAACCTATTATATGGGTTCTTATCTACAGTGAGGGAAAGAGATACTGATTATGAACCTTTTAGAACCTGGGGTAAAGAATCTGATCCTTTGTGAGAATTATATTATCTACAGACTCCAGTGTGTTAGTGTTGTGCTGTAGGTAAAGTTACCATAGGAAGGAGGGAGGGATAAGGGTGGACAGCAGGTAGGGAGGGATAAGGGAGGAAGGGAGAGATAAGGGTGGACAGCAGTAAGGTAGGGGGGAGGTAGGAAGGGAGGGATAAGGGTGGACAGCAGTGAGTAATGTATCCATCCCGGTGTTGTTCCACTAATACTCCGCCAGTCAACACACTACATCAATCATTAGTATTTAATCTTTTTATATAATCGTCTTGAAACAGGTGGTCAGCGATGGATGAATTGATTAATGTCTGTCTCTCTGGTCTGTCTGTCTGTCTGTCTGTCTGGTCTGTCTGTCTGGTCTGTCTGTCTGGTCTGTCCCTTTTTCCTACTATGTCCATCCGTCTGTTTGCCTATCTGTCTCTCTTTCATCACTATCCCCAGCATCATTACTTCACTATCGTCATCATCATCATCATCATCGTCATCATCATCATCATCGTCATCATCATCATCATCATCCTCTACACCTCAACACAGGTATACATAAAGGTGGGTATTGTATCATTAGTTTTTCCATTACACACTGCAACATATTTAATGGTTTATGTAAAGTGATCTCTTGATAAACAGAAACTAAATTAAACTTTCGTAAAAAATAAATAAAAAAAGTTCCTGGTGCTTCTCTTGTGATATTTTTCAATAGAGAATCAAAATCTTATAAAAAAATTAAGGTTATTCAACATTATACACTTAGTAAAAAAATACCCACAAACATTTATCGAGGAACAAACCTGAATTAGTTGTGTGTGTGTGTGTGTGTGTGTGTGTGTGTGTGTGTGTGTGTGTGTGTGTGTGTGTGTGTGTGTGTGTGTGTGTGTGTGTGTGTGTGTGTGTGTATGTTTGTGTGTGTGTGTGTGTGTGTGTGTGTGTGTGTGTGTGTGTGTGTGTGTGTGTGTGTGTGTATGTATGGGTGTGTGTGTGTGTGTGTGTGTACGTAAAAAAAGGTAACAAGACTAAATTAATTCTTACCTATCTTTACAGTATATTGTGGATAAGTTTGAAGGGTATTTGACCATGACGTGTACTAACAGGGGATCGAGACTACTACTTCAATGGTATAATGGATATACTTTTGAATTAAATCGAACACAAGATATATTCCAAGGGTTAGATTATGTTAGGTTAGGTAAGTTACTCATCTCGTCTGTTACTCATCTCGTCTGTTACTCATCAGTTACTCACCTTATCTAATTTTCCTAAGCCATCGCCCGTACAGACAGACACACAGACAAGGGAAGGCAGAAGCTATCTTTACCCATCTGCATATAAATGACTATAGTAAACGACACTCATTGAGGTAAATTAAGAAGAAGCTTAAGCAGACAGCAGACAAGTGATGGTGGTGGAGCAGACAAGTGGTGGTGTTGGAGCAGACAAGAGGGTGGTATGGTGGAGCAGACAAGTGATGGTGTTATCATTATATAGTGTTATTATATAGTGTTATCATAATATAGTGTTATCATTATATAGTGTTATCATAATATAGTATTATCATTATATAGAGTCACTGGTACTGCATGATGGTGATGAAAATTTCGCCACAAAATTATATGAAAACATTAAAGCAGAGAGAGAGAGAGAGAGAGAGAGAGAGAGAGAGAGAGAGAGAGAGAGAGAGAGAGAGAGAGAGAGAGAGAGAGAGAGAGAGAGATACACTGGACATTACTGGAACATTTTATGCCCCTAATAAACGCAGGGATCTACCTTTATGAGGCGTTATTTTCAGTATATTATCATAAGTAGGCCGGATCACCTCCCCCTCACCCCCCCACCCCCCCACCACCTCTCTCAGCAAGTCAAAACTTGTCTGGGTATAAACTACTTATATCGCCCCTCAACTAACCCCTATCCAGGACTCGAACTACTCAGGGTTCGAACATGTAATGAACCCGGTGATACTTCGGGTACATTAGAGTGTGAATCCAATGCATATAGGTTATTCGGGTACCTGTAGTGTCCCGTGTATGATGGACTATTTCGGGCCAGGATACACACGGCAACACGGGAGGAAACTCGGTCCAACGATACTCTGATATTGAGAGACCGAGTGAACGAGTAAAGGTTCTCAAGCACAAAAGGTGTTTATGAACCCCATTTGTTTTTACTTTACGTCACATTAACACGGAAGTTTCGTGGTTAAAATCCACCAACTTTAATCAAACATCAAAGTGAGACTACTGACACTGACACCACACGGCGCTAAGGTTCAGGGTGAGGTGTAGGTCAGTCAGGTAAGGTCAGGTAAGGTCAGGTTAGATCAGGGATAAGGTCAATACCCACAATGTTGATATTATCTCTCGTTATAGTGTAGAGGTCAGAAAAGATCAACCCAGGATGAAAAATACAGCGTGAGACCAGACATAGGCCTACCCATTTGTTTTCAGCATTCACTCTATTTTCAACTCTCAATAACACCAATTTATTTACCATTCTTTCCTATTATCACAACATAACATTACCTATAGTCGAGCATAATAACCAACATGACATACACTGACATTTTAAGCTTGGACATCAGAACACTTAGGGTTCGTAATGGGATGCGCAGAAATATTAAGCCAGGGATCTAGGCTCTCTTCAAAACTTTAGCTTACTGAATACCATCTGCTTATCTGATTTAACTTTCCTAATAACATGAAATAGTCACTAATTGAATTCATTACAGTGGTGTAGTGTGTGAGGCTCTGTGTGGCGCTCT